ATGGATCTATCGTGTACAACTCTGCAAGCTACCAAATCCTCAGAAAACTCGACCCTATACATGTTACACCACCATGTAATTAGGATAGCAATGGAAGCATTCCGAACCAGCCCAGTTATTGATATCCTGAGCGAAGCAATGGAAGTTCCTCTAAAAATCAGAAGAATGCATCTAAGCATCAAGTTCGCTGCTAAAATCTCTAGCACCCCTGTATTCTTAAACACCTTTCGACAGAACGCAACTACCACCACACACATGATGAAGAAAACCGCACTCCCATTCTACAATAGAATTTCTACAATAGAAATATGAACACGATTTCAACACCAAAGTCATCTTGGCAACCCCAAGAAATATACCTAATTTCCCGCCGTGGACGGTCCCTATAATCACAACCGACACCAATTTACGCAAACATGACAAAAAACAAACCAACCCTAACATTGAAATCCCTGTTCTGGAAGCTATCCCAGAGATACCAAGATTATACACATATCTATACAGATGGCTCAAAAACCCAAAACAGCTACTCGATCGTCTTCGAACATTCAATCACAAAAGTTAAACTCTACCAAAACACGTCCATCCTGATCGCCGAATTTAACGCACTAAAACATGCCCTCGAAATGACATCTAAATACCACAATAGAAAATTCGCCATCTTCAGTGACTCCACAAATGCTATTGCCTTAATTCTAAACCAATGGACAAACAATACATCCATCCACGAATGCCAAAACACCTACATCGAATCAATAAAAAACAATAACTCAGTTACAGTAATATGGGTCCCATCCCACACAGGAATTGAAATGAACGAGAGAGCGGACAAAGCTGCTAAGGAAGCAGCAAATTCGACAATCCCCTACCACAACACAAACCTATCATTCGATTCTTTACTTGTTCGCCTAAAGCAAAAACTCAAACGCCATTGGAACAACGAATGAAAAGCCTTAGTGAAACCACGACTGCTAACCATAAAAAATGATTTTTATAAGAACGTAATACCACCCAGTCTAAAAAGACACCACCAAATCGTAATATTAAGAATCATAATCGGACATACGAAAATACACACAAATTAATACTCACCAAAGAAGACCTACCACTCTGTGAACGGTGCAAGAACGGTACAACCCTAACAATAGACCACCTCATACTACAATGCGAAGTATACCTACTGCTAAGAAACTCAGCATCAAACTTACCCTATAAGACAACCTAAAGGACAGTGGATCATCATCAAGTCTGCTACAATATTTGAAACACAACACAATCTACAAAAGCATATAAACCATCCTTCCTTTTATTGTCGCTAATAATCTATGAGGTTGATGTGACATAAAATAATTGATTTAAAAGAAATATATTTATTTTTGATATAACGGTTTATTTCATTTATTGCAGTTAGGAAGAGAATATGAAATATATACATTTCTTTCCTTTTTCTGAGGAAATGGTATCAAGCGAGATCAAGCAGTATTTTTTTAAATAAACTTTAACAACGCGTCGTCTGAATTTGATCGCTGGACAAAGTCAATCGCACGTCATATTGAGGAACCATGCACACTGGCTTGATTGCAAAAACTAGACAGCTTGGAAAAACTGTCGCGATCGTTGATTGTTCATATTCGAAAGTCGATTGTTCACTTTGACAATCGACCAATGGAATTCGAGACCATAGAGATAAAAAAGAGGTTAATAAAAGGAGAGGAAACAGACAAGCGTGAACCGTGAAGGATCGGAGTAGAAGAGGAAGAAAAAAAAATTGAGAGAAAGAATTCGACAGAAAATGAGAACTGTTGAAAGAAAGAAAGCTTCAAACCCGTATTTATTTATAAATGATATTCCTGATATTTTCTTTTTTGTCATATTTTATTTTTAGCCATTTCATTAAAACTTGAATATCAAGCGAAAATAAACTTAATGATGAAAATATTACGATCTCTTGAACTTTTGCTGTCTAAGCCTAATATTCAAAGCCATTTCCATGTTCGAATATTAATGTGAGCAACTGTATTGCTTAACGTGACCGCGAACGTAGCTTTTGTGACTTCCATGTAAAAAAACTGGTCTCTAATAAAATGTTAATGTGGATTTGCTACCAGGGATTGAAATTACCAGGTTCTTTTCGTTTAAAAAAAATTCTGTTCGATATTTACACATTTCATGTAAAAAAAAATATCTGCTTATGGAGAATTTTTGAATAGTACAGCAAAGAATAGAAAAAAAGTTTGAATAGTGTTAGAAACACTGTTAAACAGTATTGTTATGGAACAGATATTTTAGAAAAAATAAAAGTTACTGTAAACTAAAAGTTTGATGAAAGCAACTCATTTTAAAACATTTAATTTAAATTCCATTTTTATATTAGAGTACTACCTACTGAAGTCAATATTTGCTACAAATATTGAGAACTTCTTTAATATTGAAAACTTTATTAATAAAACTTTATTAATATTAACAAATTACCTGTTCTTCTGACAGAAAAATTTTTATTTTTATAATTAATTTCCATATACGTAATTTCCATTCTGTCTAAAACTTTTATTTCTAAGAACGTTTATTTCTCATCGAGATTCGTAAGAAAATTTTTTGAAAAAGTTCTACGATCCACAGAATCGTAGTTTCAAATAGAATTTACTTAAAAGTTCCTTAACCTTTTCGATCTCTGCTTGCTATTGCTATCAGCAGTAGAGTTCTAAATGTTTAAATACATATATCATGTGTATTCCAACTTTTTTCACTTTCTTTCCGATTTACTATTACTTATCAATTTCTACAAAATTTCCAAAAGTACCGAGTTCCAGAAATCGAGAATAAGATGATATGAGGAGTATCACTTTGTTTACAATGAATAAAAAATTATAATAGTAAATAGAAAGAGAAGAGGAATTACGTAATATTTTAGAGAAACTAATAAATTTATATATTTCAAACTCCTAGTTTCTCCTGATAAGAAAGAGTATTTGAAACTTCAATCAAAATAATTAAAGATGGAAATTAATGAATGATATAAAATAATGATTTTATTGCAGGTAATTTGTAACAGTGGTATTCTAATTTACCTTTGCTCTTCAAAATTAAAGAAACAAGTAATAAAATTATTTTTTCTTGCAATCTAAGTAAATATTAGTTACAAGTAAATATTGTTAATTAAATAAACAGATTTCTATCTATTCTAGCTCGTTTCTATAAGAGGAATTTGACATTATCGTAGATTCTGCCTAGTTTTCTTCGTCATTGAACGTTCCTTTTTTTGTGTTTAGAATGGGAGAAATAAAAACGGTAACACGAAGATTTTCAGTCGTAGTTAAAGACAGTTCTGATAAATTTTCTTAATAACCGACGCGACGTTAACCTTTGAGATCGAAGCATCACCATACCATAGAATTCCAAATTACATTAATTGACAAGATACGGTAGAATAAGCGTACAAACTTCAGAATAAATAAATTAATTGATTCTAAAGTTTTGATATATTTTAGCTATGATAGCAACGATCGAATACTTGTTGGAAAATTTTTGTAAACTGATATTTCTTAACACTTAAAGCTCCGAACTCCTCTTAAAGCATGATACGTAGACTAACGGTACAGCACCTATATGTGTTTTCACGTATCTATGCAGAAATATGGACATATGTGTATTTGTTGTGAGATATTCTTCTCATATTTACCTAGAGAGATACTAGTTTTGAAAATTATGACACAAAAAAACGTAGATCTAGGAGTAAAAATTAAATGTAACTTTTTCAAAAAGATCGTAAAAATAAAGACAATAAAATTTGGTTGATATATGCACAATTATATGTGAATAATTAGGAAATTTACTAAGTTAAAGATTTAATTACGAAGATTACTAAGTTAAAGAGATATTTCTCTTTGTCCAGATCATGTAAAACTTCTGAATAGAATTCTGCGTTCTCGCGTTCTACGAGAATTATTCTATTTTATTTGTAAAAGAGTATATTTTTGCAAAACTTGTAAGTATTGCGGCGTTTTAGGTAGTTTTCAACAAAATAGCCGGTGTTTTAAGAGTTAACTGTATATTAAATTGAAACTTTACATTAAACTTTACATTAAATCGAAACTAACTGTATATTAAATCGAAACTACGGTTTGTTCACAATTGTCATTGATCAATAGGACTTTTGTCTCTATTATTTTCGATGTTACGAATTAGATAATATTAACACCTTTTTAAATAATTCGGTGTTCCAAATTAGCAATACACTGCATTTCTTCTATTTCCTTACGTTCTGACGCAGAGGAGCACAGAAATAAAGTTCTTTCCTCAGAACAATTTATGTTTCTCATTTCCCAAAACGTTGTATTCGTCTGCGTCGAGCCTAAATAGGAAGAATCAATTGCGATCTCGGCTCGTGACTGCTGAATTCATTTCGAAGGGTTAAACGCGGAAAATGAAATTTTCCCAAAGGGGAAAACGGAAAATGATGGTCGCCGTGTCGGTACAACCTTTAGACTCGCACGAATTAAAACCTTATGCGAGGGAAGATGCGTCGAACAGCGGGATAACGTTCACGATTTCCAGAATAAAGACATTCTCAGCGCCTGCGTTATATGGAACAAGCGTTGTGGGAGAACACGCGTATAAAAGAGAGCAGTTGCCGTTCGAGACGTCACATTGTATTCCCGAGTACATCCTTCATTTCTCTTGAATAAACGACGTATACGATACAGTATATTGTCATTTACTAACTATATGTCAATCTGTAAATTCGAGGTAACACGTATTACTTCTCAACAACAAATTATTTCGCAAAATTGACGCTCGTTCTTTTTCTTGTGTTACATTATTGAATCGTAACGTTAGAGATAGACGAACGCATCGATCCAGCGAATCGACCAAGATTCAGAGTTGTTACATCGTGGGAGAAATATTTTCAATCCAAGAAAAGAATATTGCAATTGCATTCGTTCAAGAAACCAACTACCGAAGTATAAATGAGCAACACTGTAATTTTGTTAATGGTGACGATGGTATCGGTAATCGCTGATGAGCAGAATGCGCTGTGGAAGAGGAGTGTGTCTATAAATTCCTATGTTGACCATTTGACAAATCTTGACGACTCTTCGGTGAGTAACTCGGTACATTCACGATGCTTGTCTTTTATTATATTATCATAAAACGTCTATATATCGTCACAAAGATTATTAGTCGCCTATATACAGTCTATCTGATTTATCTATCTAAAATTACTCGACAAACAAATTATATGAGAATAACGTATTTCTTTTTAATTTTGTGAAAACTGAAATTATAATAAAAAATATTTCAGAAGGAAGTTGTAAGTATCTTGGAGGACATATTATTTTAATGATATCTGTATTGTAATCATAAGAGATCCTTGAGAAGTCATATTTAAAATTTTAAATATACAGAATTTATATTTCACATTTTATCGCGGTTTGACCATTTAAGTTCGTCTATAGCCCTGTATATTTTGAACTATAAAGAGCGTTTTGTTGCATGTGAGAAATAAAGCAGAGGAAATTCCCTCGTGAAAAAATAAACCGAAAATATAGAATAAAATTTTTATCATTTTATTTTTTAAAGTTTTATGTTCTAGAGAACTTAGTTTAAGAAATTATCAAGTTTGAATTTAGTTTCTTTGATTTGAATTTGGCTGATTTGAATTTGAATAGGATTAATTCTAGATGTACAGAAACAAAATTACCAGGAAATATTTTCACGTGCAAAAATAAATCAGACACGTAAAATAAGATTTTTTTTGTTTTTGAAGCTTCACTTTTGAGAAAATAGACTTCGAATATGTTTCGTTGAAAATTGTCTCGATACTTGACAAATTTTCTATCTCGAAACATTCTCGAGAACGAAACTTAAAGTAAACAAATTTTATTCTACACTTTCGACTTATCTCTTCATGAGTAATCATCCCCTCATCCGTACCTTCTGTCAGTTGTCACACATTTTTTCTTTTAAATTGTCAGTGTATGTACTCATATTTCTAATATGTAACATAACATATTTTCAATATTTTTTATAACAAAATAATATTTAAATATAATTTTGAAATTCCTCGATTTCTAATTATATTATTATATTATCGCATTACAATTTAATGTATCACATTTTCGATAATTCATATTGTATTTATTGTTTTGCAAGATAATTGTAAGTCTAAAACAAATGGTCATAATATTAGACAAAACTAGAGAAAATAAGATTACAATATGAAATTGATTTATGACAACAGGACTTGTTTAAATTTTACACGCAGTTGAGTACAGGTAAGAATACATAAAAGAATTTGCAATCTTAATTATTTATTTTTCAATTATAGAAATTAATTTTTTTATCGTTATGTCAATTTCACACTAAGGAACAAATTAAGCTGGAAAAATGAGAGTATCCTAAATTTAAATGTTAAATTTTGAGAGCGTGTAGAAGACCAATAAACTAGAAAAAACATTCTTTAGGAAATTTATTCGGTTTTGCGTTAGTATGAAGAAAAAAGAATCAAAAAATTTTCATTTTTCTACTTATTTTTTTATACTTATACCTATTATCATTTACTGTATCATTTATATTATCATTTTGTATTATTATCTATTATCATCTACAGTGGAAAATTTTTTTTCGTTACTAAATCAATCACTATTTTGAAAATTGAAATCTTTTCAACGACCCTTAAAAGTTTTACGACTTTCAAAATTTTATTTTTTTCACCAAATTTGGTACATGCCATTTTACATCTAGCGATGTTTACATCATTAATGAATATATTATAGTGGAGCAATTGTTAACATCATTATTACATGCAAAATTTTTGACTCTCAAAAAACTAAGAAATATATATAAATTTTACATATTTTTAAAATTCTTTTGATATATACTGCGTTTTGGGAAGAATTTACTCAAAACTAGCTTAGCACTGAACATGTTAATTGTGAAATGTAAACATGTTGTTAACTTAACGTATGTATTTATAAGAATAAGAGTGAATGAAAGTTTAAGAGCGTTTCCAAGAGAATGAATCACGCAATTACTTTGACAAGTTTGAAAAAATTTTATTTTATATTTTTATATTTGACTTGGAAATTCAAAGTCGAGATCAATTTGCAATAAGAAATTTCATCAAGCCAAAAATATAAAATCACGTTAATAGTGATGTACAATTTTCTTTCTTTCTGTACTTGGTATTCCTGTTATTCAGATTTGTCTATCCATCTTCGTGTTTATGCGAATATGAATCGATAAATATTTTATAGAAAATTGTAGTGTGACGTTATTAAGAAATATTTTGTGGCGAAATTGTCTTTAATACTTATGATAGCGTAGAACGATGCACGTATCATTATTGGTTACGTTAATTTGTTCTCGCTTCATTCCTAAATATGTTCCTTTTCGAATTTTGTGATTATCATTTCTTACAAATTCTTATATTTTTTATGATTGTTTATTATCGTTGTCAAACTTTACCGAACTACATCAATTTGGCTCGATATTTTTCACGTATTTACAACTTTTTCGATCGGCATTAAAGAGTTGAATAAATGTATCGAACATCAACGACAAAAATGAAACTTGCTCACTCATCTTGTTTCCCAATATTGTTCCGTTTCAGAAAAATGAAACTTTCGTAATGAAATGAAAAATATGCGCACGAACGTTCGAATATGAATATGAATATCTGTCAAATTCACATCTCGACATATTCACCTTTACATTCGATTTCAAAAGAGAAATATCTGTTCACAGATCACGTTATAGTTTAGAATATATTGGATTTTCCCAAAAGTTTTTTTCTTTTATGTATTTATATGTATTTGTATGTATACATAATATTTCATTACATAAATGTATACGATTCATTTTGATTTCTTCGTGATTTCTTCGTGATTTTGATTTCTCTCTTTATACTACCATAAACTTTGAGTTGCAAAAAAAATTCCATATCGATCTTTGTCCTGACTTTCTAAAATCATCTGAAGAGAACATTTAATGAGCACAAGTTTAAAATCTAAGTACCACCTGCAAGTTCTACTCGCTAATGACTTTGATGTCAGTGTGACTTTAAACTGACATAAAAAAAAAAAGAAAAGAATAATATTGTCTTCGTTGTTCAAGCTTTATCTTACTCTCATTTGGATCGTAACATGGCGCACGAAAGAAAATTGTCGCCGTTGAACGGGATCGATAGTATTTCGATTTAATTATCGATTATCTATGAATCGTATGTCGGAAGCCTCAGGTGCTGAGGCAAGATGACAATTCTTAGGAATAATTGTTCCATGAATTCTATGAATTTTATTGTTCATTGATGTTGTATTTAAAAAAAGAATTACATACAGTGTTAACATTTCCTTATCGAAGTATATATGTTAAAACAAACTTGCCAAATTTAATATCATAATATTTGCAAAAGAAATAATTTTAGAGACAATATTGTCCCATCCTGTTTCGCATATGCTAACGTTGAAACTAATTAAATAATAACTAATTTCATTTGTTTAGGAATAAATATCTTAAGAAATTGCTATTATTGATGATTATTCAAACGATAATATAATTGAAAAGTTTTACTTTGATATTTGAAAATGTTTAAAACACGTAAGAGAATAATATCATGAGTGTGAGAATCAGAAGTAAGCTAAAAATGTATTAAAATATATTTAAAAAAAGAAATATTATATGCGTAAAAATGTCAAAAATAGCAAACTGAGGGTAGAGAAATTTTCTGGGAATTTGCCATTTCGCATTAATTTCTCGACAAATTTTACATGTTCAATTATTTTTGGAATTCACACGAATGGTTTATGGTAATTTACCATCGAAGTTTTTATTAGCTTCTAGAAAGCATTAATGCTTTCTCTGAATTGATCATATAAATTAATCTAGCGAGAAAATATTTTATGAAATAATGTCTAACTGGTAAAAGTTGTGTTGTGTTTGAATTTTTATACAGCAGTGCGTCGAAGCAAGTGCATAACATGTACAAACGAGCACAAGGTGGTTTTCCTTATGAAAAAAAAAAAAAAAATATATAGAATAACATTTTTTGACTTGATACTTCGTTTTCGAGAAAATCGAATTTGAAGGTCTGCGGGGTTCGTATAGAGTTGACAAAATTCTGTATAGAATATTCAGTACGTATTTAAAAAAATATAGGGATAAAACAATTTATCTAGTGTTCAAGTATACATAATTAAGCGAGCATAAGATTGCACACAACGATGAGGACAACATTGTTAACAATATCGTATGATATAATAAAACAGTGTTGTCAAAATATTTTCTTTCTAGTGTATTTAATCAATCATAGATATTGTATATGAATATAACAGTTTATATACAACAAGGTGCACAGGGTGAATAATTCTCGCAATTGTAACAGGTTACATCTCAATAATAGTAGAAGATACAAAAATTCTTCCTCAACTCGTACGTTCGAGCATCGTTTCTTTAAGACCTTCGATCTTCTGTCTTTTCGAAGAAAGTAAATGGCATTTAAACTGTTAACGGAATGCGACGAGCAAACATAGAAATGTCGAGAAACTGAACATCGAACGAAGATCGTAATTATTTAATCATTGTCAAGGTTACTATTCCCTGTCCAGGACATTTATCGCACACCACTGATTTTTTTGTAAAAATCGTAACTTTTAGTTTTTTAAATAATTTTTTTATTAGTCGATGCAGCTCCATATTCTCTATAAAAAAATATTAATATTTAAAAAAATATCAACGTTTAAAAAATTATTAATTTAGGTATTTATTAGGTACTATTATATTAATTAAATAATTAGTTGTTATTTAAAAAATTAATAGTTTAGCTTAGATTCACATTAATTTACACTAATTTATTACATTAAGTTTTAATTAATAATTGAAGAATTATTAGTTAAATAGATATCTTCATTTTAGCAAATGTTATTCGTTAATCCCGTAAATGATTGGTTTTTAACCTTTTCTGCTCTACACTATATGTACGTTCTTGTCCAAGTTTTTTTTGATCAAGTAGATTGACAGCGACATGGCTAGTCGACTGTTCCTTTTTTCGTTTCTCTGTTATTTTGTTTGATGGTTACTTCCACGCGTTTCAGTATTATGCACTTGAAGAGTGGTTCTAGAAAATTTTCGATGAAAACCTCGATATTTTGGGTTCTTATTATTAACTTTGTGAAAAAAATCGTATAATAAATTTTAAGAAATCGCTGTGAAGCAAAAGGTTTAATCTCCAAGATCATTGTAGTTTTATTTAAGAAAAATATTTTTTCAATCTTCACTTATCCCTTTTAAGATGATGAAAATATGAGAAACGAAGATGTATGTTTCATACTTTAAAATGAACACAAGATTGGTCCGTGATCGTTAAGAATTTGTAGCAATTTAAAATGTCGACAATTAAGCAAAAAATCTGTACTTAGTTTAAAACGTGAAGCTTTTACTTCCACGACACTGTTTCTTTCTTATTGTTAGAAAAACTTTTTTCACAAAACGAGCCAATTACGGACATGAAAGTGAATTCAATCCTACAATTGATTTTATAAAGTCCTTGAGTTTTTCCAAATTCTTCCTTCCCATATTTTCCATTTTTTGCCATTCCATCAAAAGAAAACAGTAGCATCAGTCATTAAATTCATTTCTACGATTATTTTTTCTCGAAACTGTTTTTCCTGTTCCCTCGATTTTCCAACTTACTAACGTGAGAAGTGAGAAACAAAAATGTTTAATGTTTCTGTTCAAATATAATATACACAAGTTTAAAGTTTCTGTTCAAATATAATATACACAAAGTTAAACGTAATCTGATTAATGATTAATGATTAAAATTAATGTGAAATCAGAATATCAATCATGAGTACTGATTATCAAGTAATTGTTTATTAATCAATAAGAGAAAATAATTGATATCATTCATTATAAAATAATTAAACTTTTAATTATGACTGTATCAACAATGCTGTGTACATTTTGTATTGTAGAAATTATATTTATTATTCGCATCATTTTGCAATATGTATGATCTTACAATTTTACCAGGATATGTTCAAAAGAATTTCTATCAACTGAAAGTCTTGTCTATATAGTCGTACAATCTTCCGTATGATTCGATGAAGATGGACTTCAAACGACAAACTTGCCAAATAATCAAAATTTTGAGATTTTTCGTTATGATACGCACCCGTTTTTATACCAAAAATACATCAGAGAATTATAAACTTTACCAATTATTCTAAATTAGGCAATACAGATATTATTATTACAGCAATGAACATACATAAATATTGTCTCCACCTTAGTTTACTAGTCAAACTGCAAGCGGTTTAATAATAATATTTAGATATATTGAACAGTAAAATCCAACAATTTTGAACTTGTCATGACAATGTGAAGAAATAATACATTATAGATCGTAACAAAATATAAATTAGTCACTCAATGATTTAAAACTTACCGATTAATAATTACAAATAATTAAAAATTAATCAAGATTAATGATTTATTTTAATAATGAAATTGATTACTCATTATGATTACCATGATTATTGTATACTAACTGATTACAGAAATGATCACAAGGTAATCGATTATTGCTTAAATCTGCACAGTACAAATACAAAAATATGCCTGTGTTCCTTCTCGTTTTTCATACGATACATTTTACAAAATTAGAGTTAAAATATCTCCTAAACTAATCATTTTTTGACATAGTTAATATATACTTTCATTAATGTATAAAAAAATATATTATTTCATTTAAGAGTGGATGTGACCTTGAGATTTCGGAGACAAATCCATTTAGACAAATTTAGCTGTCATAATAAAATATTCCCTTTAAAACAGGACAATTTTATTTCAAACATTTTTTCAAATAATGAATAATTGCGTGGATGAATTGGATCGAGACACTTTGTGACCTACTCTCTCCCTCCATTTTCAGTTTTCCTTTTTCCATCAGCATTGATTGAACGAGTAACTTTTATACCTATTCCAAAGAAACAACAAATCTATTCGTACGGGAGCATTTACGCAGAACAACGCAAACTCTCTCCACCTTGGAATACATCTCAGCACATTACAAATCTATGTAATGTGCAATGGTTGCCGAATATTAAAATTAATGAAATAAAGAAATTGACTGGAAATTCGTATTTAATACACGAATATGCAGACCGACACGATTAGGATACTTAGTTGATCCCTTCGCACTGAACAGAACTGCCATCCGTTCGAGATTTTCCGGATTTGTTTTGGTTTATAATAATCGCGAATGCAATATAGTTCGAATAAATATATACTCGTGGTAACGTGCAATATAGACTAATTCTGAGCAAAAAACTCCAGGATTTTAATATTCTTTATTCTAAATTTGCGGTTTTATAAATGGCAACCATAGCATTGAAACAATTATTTCGAAAGAGTTAATAAGTTTAAATCGCAGTTGACAACTCTATATTAATAATGGAATGAATTGTAGTAAATTGAGAACAGCAGGGAATCAATTGATCGCGGGAAACGAAAACGATTTTAGAAAGACGCTAGATTTCCTATTTAAGTTAAAGCGCATTTTAAGATCTTTTCGTGTTTTTAATACTGTTTTGTTCACCAGGAAAAAATTCAATTTCGTTTGAAGAAATCGTTTACTTGTAATATCGTACGCTTTAAATGTGTGTGATTCTAACTGTGAAAATTGTGTTCACAGTAAACTTGTAAAAATATAATTTACTCGGCAATCGAAATAAGAAGAAAATATACGAAATATTTTAAAATTAAAATTAAAAGCAGAATTTTTAATAAATAACTATTTTTTATTACTTTTAATTACGTTTATTATTATTTTTAACGAAAGTTGTTATTTTTTTAAATATATGTATAGGCCATTATTTTTCAATATGCATTAAAAATAAATAAATAATACAAATTTTGATTTATAAAATATACAAATTACAATTTACGGTTGTAACATGTTACAATTATAAAAAGCGACGATATTATTTGCGACTTTTTCATCGTATAAAATATAACATATATGATAAAGTTAAAAATTGTTTACTACTTTTATTTTATTTAATTCAGATACAATGAGTTTCTTCTTGAAAATCACAGATATAAAATAAATTATTTTTTATGTTATTTAAATTACTCTTATTTGACTACAAACTTTAATTGTTGTTTATAATAAAAATTACATATTTTGACGGACAAATAATAGCAGAAATGTAATGTGACAACTACGTCAAATTTTGGCAAGTATACTTTCTTCAAGAAATCTTAAATCTCTGTTACTTTAACTCATCTTTTATTTGTCATTCCCCACGATGAAAAGCAATCAAAAAGAGAAATATTTTAAATTATCTATGTATAAAATTTTAATGAAATATGTCATGATAAAATACATTATCACGATAAAATATATTATTGAATCTTTACAGAATCATTCATACTTTATCTCTTATGTTAATCTTCGTAAAATACCAAGTCATTTTAACCCAATCATTATATTCAACTGATAGTAATAGATACGTCTCTCTATCGTTTTAACATGAAATAAAATATTTCCTAAATTAAATGATCCGAATGAAATGGTTATTAAGGTGGTTGAATTTTATATTTGGTTCTCCATAAAATTATCAAAACAGTAACAAAAATTAGCTTAAAAATAATCTTGAAAAAGTTCATTCTCGACAAATGTGCTCTTTGAAATAGTGCAACTTCGTCTTGAACATTTTCTTCGTAAAATCAAAAATAGAACAAATATCTTATATTTTTTCTACCTTTCGGACACTCTTTTGTGCATATAAAATGACAATATAAAAATTAAAATTTAATCACCTTAATAACCTTAATTCCCAATCAAATGCGACATTCTGTTTAACATAACAGAATTGTACGTATTACATAAAATTCGAGGTGTTTCGCGAAATATTAATTTTTTTATAAACCATTGTGGCCTAATATTTCTAGTACGAGCAATAATGGACAATAATAGTAGAGAATAACTGTAATACGAAATAATTGCATTACACCGGTTATACAACGTACAGTTACTAAATTCACTTTGTGTATATGTATAAGTACATATATGCGTATATATACTCACCATGAAGTGTCACTAGGTTGAATTCAGTAAATAAAAAATTTTGAATTTAATTCCTATCCGTATCTTTTGAATTTAATTCCTATTAAATTGATATAGCAAGATATGATACGAAAATAATAAAAAAGGTCAGGTAATCTTCAAAACGTAGGACGCGAAAAAGCATTGGATGTTTGGTCTGTTTCAATTAATCAATACTTAATAAAATACTTTCTTTTTTAGGTACTAGTGTCAAAGAGGGCGGCTCTTCTGTTGGATCAGTTAATGGTCGCGTTACAAGATGCACTAAGCAATCAGCCCAGAAGAGAACTTCAAAAAGGCAATAAAATGTCCATAAGATTATCGACACCTTATTTGCCAGCCGAAAATTTATCAGTTCTTCCATTGGCGGAAGCGCAAACGGTACAGGTTTGACAAATTTACTCTACAGTACTCTACGTGGAATTCATTCAGTTTATCCTTACATTTGAAATTCAATTTTTCGAAATTAATTTTTATCTGCAATTTTTATCTAGATGGATCTTCGACGGCAGAAACAGGGCCACCGCCTTTATTGGCGTTGTTTCTTGAACATCGTAACATGCTACAAGAAAAAGTAATTACGAGTCAGCGTGATCAATCTACATTGTGAAATTAAAATCCAACGCGATCACGAGATGTTTTCTTCTATCAGAAAAAAAAAAAAAAAACAAATAAATCATAAATTCATCACAAAAGATCCCTAAGTCCAAAGATGTTCCTGTTCATTGACTAAGATGAATAAATGTACATGAATGTAACGACGCAAAGAAAAAGAAAGATATCTAATCATATAATACGTGACACTTATTCCTGATTGATTGATAAGCCATAAACTTATATAATGTCAACAGAAAATTCAAGCGCACTACGTGTCATTGCACGAATGAATTTACGTACATTTTTCATATGAATTCTATGAATATTAGTGATCTCTTTTTATTAATAGATCCTTCTCTGCAACGTCGTTGCATTCATGTTTAGTAGATTCCAGTTTCTTTTCGAGAAATTAAAGATGGCACGTATGCTACCATTTTGTTCGTAAATGTATTACTTCTTCATTTACAAATTGTGGAATCTATTTGTCCATCTCTTTAACGCTGTTTTTCCTTCGCATATTGGTCACAATGATTGTAATATGTATTGAAACCAGGAATCAAAAAAGTGAAGAAACTTTTAAATAGGTTCTATTTGAAATATGGATTGTAGCATCTTTTTGAAAAAGTTGTTCTTACGTTATAAATCTCAATGAGAACAGATAAATAAAGGTTTTAAAAAATAAAAGTTTCAGGAAGAATAGATAAATAATACAAAAATAGACATTTTTTTATTTTGGACAGATAATTTGTTCATCAATATTAAAAAAATTTTCAGTATTTAACATACTGACACTGAATGTTATTCAATGAATGTACTCGAATACAAAAATGGATTTTTAAATAAATGTTCCCATAACTTTTTAAATAAATGTTTAAATAACATATTTCCATGGAACTTTTATTATACAGATACTAAAATATCTATTTCATGAGAACACTGTTGAAAAGTGTTCCTAAATGGAACACGTTCTCCTTTTTTCCACAAACAAAGGAAACTTTTTTTATACGAAAAGAATCTGTTGATTTCGAACCCTGATTAAAATTGATATTAATTGTGTTACTAGAGTAAATGTTGTCAATTAAATATCTTCTTGGTTTCTCGACTAAATGTATGTACTTAAAATTAGGTTATTCGATGAATCGTGTTTATTTGAGTGTTCCGAAATGTTAGCAAACTCCCATTCATATGTGACGTGTGCCATTATATTTACTATATTTTAAATTCCCGATTAATTCGCTTAGAAAGAGAGTCTGTTCCATTTGATGTAAATTAAGTAATTATTTTCGCGTCATTTAAAACTGCTAGTTACTACTTGTTAGAAGAATGAAATATGTGATTACCGAAGTCTTCGCTTTATAGAATAATGACTACAGAAAACCGTGAAATTAATTAATAATTTTCAATAAACATATCTGCAGCGACGTTTTTGCCGGTATCGCAAATCTATCTTCGAGACGGTTCCAGATAAATCCACTAAATGTTTTACAGCTATTCGAGATTTATGTACACCTTACTAATGAAAATAAAGAAACATTATGTTTCTCAAAAAATTATTTTCCATTCTTTAATTTTGAAAGTACATAAATTGAAAATAAAAATGGCATAAGATAATATATCATAAGTGTATTTTTGAATCTACTACATAAAAATCACAATTAATATTGAAACAGGAAATCACTGAAAATCATAGCGACGAAAGTTAGGAAACATACTGTGCTTGGTTCGTACAATCATTTTTAATAATAACAGTAGCATTTAATTGTCTATCATTTTCGCGGAGTTTTAATGGAATCATTTTAGAAAAAACTCTTCGATTTTTATAACTGTATAGCATATGCGAGATATTGATTCAGTTAATTCACACACAATTCAGTCGGTATATAAAATTATATTTTTATAATTTTTTCCGTTAATTCTATTTTATTGATGAAATAACGACCTCTCGATACACGTTTATTAACTCTCGTAATAAATGGTAATAAATCATTTTACAAAATGTTGTGTACAGTACACAAAGTATTCTATATTTCCTTTAATTTGCATTAACGATTAAAAATTGATTTATAAAATGAATTATATTTATTATATTATTATAAATAGAATGCAGATTTTTATGCCTTCATGGGAAATTTACAGATTAATTCAGACGAATAGCACGTGGAAAAATATGTAAAATATCGAAAATAGAATGCTTGGTACAATATATAATAACAAATTTCGAAATGAACAACGAAAACAAATTTCTGTCTAAGCTCTACTATTAAAATAAATAAACTAGTAAATTGGAAATTGCATAAATATCTGCGATCCAATTATAAATATTATCTTTATTATAACATGAATATCTAATGAAAATATTTATGTTGTATGAAAATTGAACTGTTATACAAGTACATTTTTTTAGCATAATGTATTTGTATAACAAAAAGTTCTTGTATATAGTTAAACTATTTTAACTTCAATTAAATCTGACATTGCGCATTGTTACTACCGCTCTCTGATCTACAAAAACATCCATATACATACTCGTATTAAAGTCAAAAAAGTTTATATTTATAATGTCTTACAAATTCTGGTTCGTAATAGATCTGCAACAGCGATAGGAGAGCATTTCTCAAATTCATGAGATATAAAATATCAATAAAATATCATCTAAGTAAAATATTCACAATTTGATACTCTGTTTGCAACAATATTTTTAGGCGTTCTCTATTATTTCTAAGCTTTCAAACACCTTGTACTAAAACAATTCGCATTCTAGTAATGTGATAAAATATTGTTTTCACTTCCTTCGTCGATGTTCCCATTTTCTTGCATTTGTTTACAGTAGCAAAACTGAAATAAATTTTATTAAATTTAAATTCATTAATTTATTTATTAAATTTTCTTTTGAAAGGCACAAACAATGTCTCTTTCCCCTTTTTTCCTACAAAATAAGAATTTAAGAAGGAAAATGTACTTTTCAAACATTTTAAACCACGTTTAGCAAATAAATAATTGTATTTCCTCTTCGAAATTGTAAAACTTTTTTTTGTAAGTTGTTTTTGTGTAGTTTTCAGGATATTGAAACTTGAAACATTCCAAACAAGTATTTAATTATTTTCATGATCTCTGCGTAAAATTTACTTGTACAAAATGTTTTGTAACTCTTATCTGTATTATTACTACTTTGTTGCAGGTATACAAACTTTGCTAATTATTATACATAACGTATTTATGTTTTCAAATTTTATATAGGTTCGAATACTTTCGTGATGTATTATATATTTTGCTATATTTGTAGTGCAAGATTAATAAATTTTTGTGAGTTTCGTGGATTAATATAATTAAAATAATTAACATAAGATGTGCGAATATGAAAACTTGATTATTAGCTAAAGTGTTTAGCTTTGGATGAAATTATAGGGACAAAGTGATGGTGTTTAAAGTTGTAAGGAATTATAACACCTTCAAAGTATGAAATTAGATACTGATTTGATGTCATCAGTTTGAGGTATTTAGTTTGAAGTATCTAGAGAGTTTCAATTATACTAACAATAAATAGACTACAAATTACGTTACATATCTATTTCTACTGTTCGTTATACAATATTTAGATAAAATAATTCTTCGTCTGTTCTTTTATTTCTTTTAATTATAAAATGTAAACATTTAAAAGTATCTTTGTTATTATTGTGTATATATATAAGTTCTGACTACAGATAATGGAAAATCATCAGGCAAAATTATTTTTCTGTGTTAATGTCTTTTCTATTACAGATATGAAAATACATTAAAATATGTTAAATAATATTATTTTTTATCTCTATATAAATTTGATAAAATAAAAGAAGCGATAGGAGAATTAAAACTCTTTGGAAAGAAGTAGTCGATATTTCTTAAAATGTTGAAAATTTATTATAGGGAAAATACACAGGAAATCGATATTTCTGTCACAATGGACTTATAAGTAGGGATCCAGAATTTAATTAAGAGAAAAGAAAAACTATTATATTATGTGTGCCAGCTAGAGAAATTTGTGAATTTCGATAAAATGGTAGTGATGTGGCTCGTAAAATTGTTGCCTTTCTTTACATAAATAAGACATCCTTCGAATACAATAGCATGTTTATTAAAGATATATTTCTGCTGCGATACTAGGAAAGTTGCTACTAATGCTTTCTAATTAATGACACTTGAGGCATCTTTTCATTCGTGAAAATATTTTTACCTCACAAGAGGTGAACCACACTAGTATTAAGGAGTATGTGCATTTCCCTCCAACATGAATCCAACTGAAGTATCAATATTGCGGATATGAATTTCATTGGTTTCCCTATTTTGTGAATTCCTAGATATTCAGATTGTTTTTTACCTGGACAATATTAATGATAGCATTCAGGTTTTGTATTTCTATAGTGATACAAGCCAATAGTGATTGCCTTCAGCTCATTGCTGACATTGCAGTGTGCCTGAAAGAGAATCTTCATTCTTAGCGTTCCTACATTTTCGAATCGCGGAAGTTCGTGTGCTTTGGATTATACTTGAATAAATTGATTCATAACCAACAGCCTCCTCCCGTTTAGTTAATACAGCCTCATACTTATCTTTAATAAACTATTTAATAATCATCTGAAATCCGAAGCAAATTCTAAAGACAGAAATAAAGACAGAAGATTCTTCTCTTCATAACGATACACTACTAGACGCACGGTAGAAACTGTCCTTGGGCACAGCTACGTTGTTAAGGAAGAGCGCAGACCGACACAATCGTCCTTCAAGATTTTTAATATACATTACAAAGGTATTGAATATATATTTCAATGTACAATGTATAGTTTATCCAATATACATTATCAATGTACATTAGTTTATCTAAATATTAATTATATTTATTATAAAGAGTTTTATGTTCTCTTTGATGTAGATTGCTGCTTAGATTTAAGATAGTTTTCTCTCTCAGGAAAAGCCATTAAGCCGCTGCTTTGCGATTTGCGGTCATTGCACCATTGATATTTCTGGTTTCGCCAAAAGAAGAGGAGGCTGGACATGGAAAAAAGAAGAAAGAAAGAAGAAAAGTGAAAATTTTTTCATCCGACAATTTAATAATAATAATAATTCGAAGCAAATTTTAAAGAAATTAGGAATGAAGACAGAAGATTCTTTTCTTCGTAATGATACACTA